AACTTAGAGATATTTGGCGTGAATGGAATATGAAAGAAAGAGACTTTACCTTTTTTTTCGGACAGGCATCAGTCGTATTCCAGAACTGACTTTTTTTTAATTACTAATGATCTTTTTTCTAGGGTGAAGAATGCTAAGATATTCCCTAGAATATTGTCAGACCATAGTCCTGTATGGATGGAGTTATCTACTGAAGATGGGAATAGAAGGACTTGGAGATTGAATGAAAATTTATTTAGATATGAGGGGAATGTACAGAGATGTAGAGATTATTTAAAGGAATTTTTTCTTTTGAATATGCATAAGGGTACTTCAATGCCAATGGTATGGGATGCCAATAAAGCATATATGAGAGGGGTCTTGATTCATATGAACAATGCGCATAGACGCAAACAGATGTAGAAACATAAAGAATTGAAAGTAGAGATTAAATCTAAGGAAAAGGCTCTTACATTAAATCCATTGGACAATAATTTAAAGGCTTCTATTATCTTGCTTAAGGAGCAATTTAATATGTTAATATCTGATCAGATTGCAATTAATTTGAGGTATATGAAATATAATACATTTTGCAACGCAAACAAACCTGGTAGGTGGTTGGCTTACCAACTACGAAAGAAACAGAAATCAAGGATTATAGAGAAAATAAATTATAAAGGTAAAGAAGTTTATCAACAAAATTTGATTAAAAGGAGTTTTTTAGATTTATATTCAAAGTTATATGCTAGTGAAATCATACAAGTTTCAGGTATAGAAAAATACTTACAGGAATCACATTTTCCTAAACTTACTATTGATCAAAGAGATGAGATTAATGGTTTAATTACTTCTGAAGAGATTATTTGGGCAATTAAACAATTAAAAGTTGGTAAGGCTCCAGGTACAGATGGATTAACAGCAATTTACTATAAAATGTTATCTGAAGAAATGATAGAACCATTGAAGGAACTTTTTAATAATATTTTGTTGGGAGCAGAGGTACCTCCATCATGGAGAAGGGCTTTTATATCATTGATTCCAAAAGAGGACCAAGATTTGACTCAGCCCAAAAATTATAGGCCTATATCTCTTTTGAGATTATAAGATTTTTTCAAAAATATTGGCAAATAGATTAATGCGAGTTTTGAAGCAATTGATTCATAGTGATCAATCTGGATTTATAACTGGAAGATATATGAAATATAATGTTAGACAAATTGTTAATCTAATTGAATATTTAGACAAGAACAATCAAATTCCCGCAGCTTTGATTTTTTAGATGCTGAAAAAGCTTTTGATCAATTAGATTGGCAATTCTTATTCAGAGTAGTAGAGGAAATGAATTTTGGGGACAAATTTTCATCTGCCCTTAAGGCTATATATCAGTGGTTCTCAACCTTTCTAATGCCGCGACCCCATAATACAGTTCGCCATATTGTGGTGACCCCCAACCACTTATACATCACCGGGTGCCAGGGGCCTGGCCAAAGAAAAGGGGGAAAAAATGGCGGACAGCCTTGTTTGGCGACCCCCGTGAAATGGTCGTTCGACCCCAAATGTTGCTATATATCAACAACAATCTGCACAAATCATAGTTAATGGAGGATTAACAGAAGCATTTAAAATTGAAAAGGGTACAAGACAGGGATGTCCTTTATCACCATTGTTATTTGTTTTAACAATGGAGATTTTACTTATCAAAATTCGGGAGTCACCTTGTATAAAGGAAATAAAAATAAATAAGAATGATTATAGGTTGAGAGCTTTTGCTGATGATTTGGTTGTGACATTATCTCAACCGACAGATTCGGTTAGGGATTTGGTTGAAATTTTAATTCAGTACGGGAAGGTTTCTGGTTTTAAGGTAAATAATAATAAGATTAAAATATTAGTGAAAAATATGTCTATGAAGGAAAAGGATATTATGGTTAAATTAACAGGTTTTGAAATAGTGAGAAAGGTTAAATATTTAGGAGTATATATAACAGCTTCTAATGTTAAATTGTATAAAAATAATTATGACACATTATGGGTAAAAGTGCAAAAGGACTTAAATGATTGGAAAAAATTACAATTATCTTTGTTGGGGAGAATCTCGGCAGTTAAAATGAATATACTTCCAAAGTTTCTTTTTTTATTTCAGATGATACCTATTTTGAAAAAAGATGCTAATATGGAGGAATGCCAGAAGGGGATTAACAAATTCATTTGGGCAGGGAAAAAGCCGAGAGGTAAATTTAAAATTATGCAGGATACACGGGAAAGAGGAGGACTAAAGGCGCCTAATTTAAAATTGTACTATGATGCGGTGGCTTTAACGTTGATTAGTGATTGGCTCAACTTAACAAATAAAAATATTCTTTCTCTTGAGGGATGGGATTTATTATATGGATGGCACGCGTATTTAATTTATGATAAAAAGTTGATCACGTTTTTAAAACCCATATTTTGAGAAGTGCCTTGTTGCATGTCTGGAAGAAATATTATTATAGGTTAAATTATAAAATTCCAATTTGGGGGATTCCTGGACACGTGATAGAGGGAGTATCTAGGGGAGTAAATTTGGATAAGATATCTTACAAGGAATTACTTAGTTTGGTTGGGCAGCATTGGCAATTAAAGCCCTTAACCGAGTTGAAGCAAGAAAATATTGTATATTCTTGGTTTTATTATAATCAATTGTTAGTGAGATGGAGTATAGATCAAAAGGTTGGTATCACTTTAGAGGATGTGAACTTGGTAAAACAGATTAAAAATCAAAGTCGAGCTCATATAAAAAAAAATTATAGTGCCTTAATAGAATTGGATTCTGAAATGGAGTTAGTTAAAGATTGTATGGTTAAATGGGCGCAAAATATTCAGGATCCAATTTCATTGGATACATGGGAGACAATTTGGGTTAGAAATGTAAAATTTACTCGAGCGCAAAATTTAAGAGAAAATTTTTATAAAATGTTTTATAGATGGCATTTGGATCCCCAAAAGTTGTCTCGCATGTATCCGAATTTACAGCCCAAATGTTGGAGATGTGGAAATTTAGATGCAACTTATTTTCATATCTGGTGGACCTATAGAGATATTAAAGATTTTGGATTAAGATTTGGTGGAATATTCAAAAGATTTTTAAGAGAAAGGTAAAGTTTACTCCGCAATTATTTTTGCTGGGTTTTATTGTAGATTTTGATGTTAAAGAAATCAATTTGATGTTGAATCTTATAACAGCTGCAAGATTATTGGTGGGGCAATATTGGAAGAAAAACTCACTGCATACTTTGGAAGAATGGATACTTAAGGTATCTAATTTAGCAGAAATGGCGAAAATCTCCACCTACTTGAAGGATCATTCACAAGAAAGATACATTATGGTTTGGAGAAGATGGATTGATTATATTCAAAAGAAATATGAAACTGAAAAGTATTACCTTGCTTTTGAGTAGATTTTAGATAATTATTAATAGTTTTAATTATATTATTATTTTTGTTTTAATTTGTTAATATTTGTTTTGAGAAGGAGTTAAAGTGTGTTATGGTTTTGATTGATAGTATCGTTGGTTTATGTTAATTAGATTATGTTTGTTTATTTGTTACCCTGTAATCAGCTCTGGGAAGTGGGGGAGGGGGGAATGGGTGAGGGGTGGGGGGGTTTATATTGTAATAAATTTGTAAAGCTTTTAATAAAAGAATTCATATTGGCCATATTACATTCACTTTTTAAAAGTAACTATAAATATTTTCTGTAGTATTGTTATTATTTCATTAAAAGAAATGGATGCTTGAAAAACAAACAAAAATGGAAATGGAAATAATTTCTAAAGTCTGAAGTATCTTCAAAGGAAACAAATTTTTATTGGTGAATAAATTACAAAGAACTAATTCAAGATAAGAAAAATCACTAAATATGAGGAAATCCTTCTATTTCTACTGAACTTCCTTTTTTCTTTCCATGAGTAGCATTTTCAATATAATTTAAATTAAATTAGCTAAAAAAACAATATAAAGTAGTGGTACAAAACCTTTCTAGATCCACAATTCCTATACAACAAGCAGGAGGCAGCTATGGCTAGAGGCTTTTACATAAGTCTTTAAGAAGCTACAACTGATCCAGACTGCAGTGTCCAAGTAGTCACAACCCTCCTTCTTGTGCACATATCAACCATTACTTTGGGAGCACTGGTCCCCAATTGGCTTCTGACTGCAATTCAAGCACAGGCTGCCAATTTGAAAGCCTTATGTGGGTTCAGATCATGAATATCTGAAGGACTATTTATTCTGGATAATATCTTTCCAAAGAATAAGGTCAAATAAGTAGTCTCTCCCTGGGTCGTTTGTTTGTTTATTTGTTTGTGGGGTCCTTGGAGCTTTCTAATCTTGGTTGTTTTCTTGCAAACTCATGAGTCACTCATGAGTTTGGTTTTCAGGAGCCACAGAAGCATTGATTCTTTAGCTCTGTTCTTTTCCTTTGTAACAGCATTCCACTGGATATTGAAATGGCTTCCTCACTCTTTGGCATTCAGAAAGTCTATAAAGGCTTAGCTGTTCAAATAAGCCCTGGGATGTTTGTCCCTTTATAAATGGAAATAGTTTTAATTTGGGGAATAGATTGCAACTATTGACAGATTGATTTCATGCTTATTGCACTTTCATTTAAAATTGTATACCTCTAAAAGCTGGTTGTGACTGGAATGGTTTGTTCACCCTTTTCAATCAATATATACAGCAAGACATCTAGCTAACTTAATATCAGTAACATTCATACTACATTTAGGAAACTGTCAACTAATTTGGAATTATCCTAGAGCAGTGTTTTCAAATGTAGCAAGTTTAAGATGTATGAACTTCAACTCCCAGAATTCCCCAATCAGCATACTAGGAGTTGACATCTACACATTTTAAACTTGCTGACCTTGAGAAACACCAATGTCAAAGAAATGCCTTTGAATGTTTCTATATATCACCTTTCTAAATCCTTTGTATTCAACAATAATGCTTAATAAGTATTGCAACAAAAACACCACGCATACCTTTGTTTCCATATTTAGAAGGTGGAGCCCTTTGACATTTATGCCTACATAAACTCTGATGACTTTATGATTGCTTGAGCTTGCCTTTGTGAATACTTGTCCTGTGAAAAAAGCAGCTCCATATGTAGGAATCTCCCAGCAGTTTTGCAAAAACATGCGTTGCAGATGATGCATTTCTTTACTCACACCCTCGCTAGTACTGAGACTCTGGAAATACAAGTTGACATGCCCGCAAAGGATATAGTTTTAGTTTTATAGTTTTAGCTTTTATCTGAAATTTAAAAGCTTTAAAAAAATTTAAACCCATGTAAAAATGAATGTGCTATTGAGTTTCAAATAAGCATAAACAGTTAAAGAAATTAAATTCTGTATCTAATAAGCTGTGGATTGATCTAAATGTTAAACCAAAAGATTTTGTATTTTTTCAGTACATTGGCAGGAAATACATAAAATCATAAAAATCAGGATACAATCTGAGTCGGTCACTGGGATCAGAGGTTTGTTCTTCCAAGCTTTGGTTCTTGTGCTGGAACCCATCCTTAGGGGACTTCTCAGTCTCCAGGATTGAGAAGCTGAGAATCTCCACATCTTGGAGACTGAGAAGTTCCCTGAGAGGATGGGCTCCAGTATGAGTCGGAAAGCTTGGAAGAACAAATCTCTGGTCTGGGTGACCGACTCAGATTGGATCCTGCAACATTATCCTGGGACACTTATAATATATTTGCCTTCATTCCTAAAAACCAGCATCCATATGCATACTCTTCCAGGTTGTGTCTGTGATCTGCAAGTAACATTTAGTCAGGCTTATCTTCCAATAACTTGCTTTCAAGAACTCTAAATTAGTGATCATCACCACATTATATGATAGTTATTATATAGATTCTAGATTAGTATTTTTTTAAAAAAATCTTGAATCTTCAACAACTTAGCCTCCTCTGATCATCTAGTTCTACAACTTCAAGAGTCATCAAATCTTCTAATTTTTCCTACAGTTTATCTTCCTGATAATTTTGGTTAATCTTTTGCGCACCACTGTATCTTTGTGTGTTCAGTGTGATCACAAAATAATACTCTAATTGTAGTAACCCATTCCATTTTTTAAAAAATGACTTACATACAGTACTTTTGTTTTAGGCAAGTTCTGTTTTAAATTTCCATAAGATTTGCTATTTTTTCCAAAAGGGCTTGAATTTCTGAAATTATAATGTTGTAATTATAACATTATAATAAGCTTCTTACCTTATATTCATGAAGAATTCGATTTGTCCAGTGAGGTGCCTTGCTCTTTAATTTGGTGATTGGTACTATAGATTTCAAGTTTTCTTCACTAAAAATTAAAATCAGACATATTATAGAACACTTGAAAAAAATAAAACATATTTGCCTTAAGAAAGAGATAAGTGAGAAATAATATGCACTAAAAGTTTCAAATATAAAATATATCATAGTACATTTTTATGAACATTTTATTAAATAAACAATGAAATATCAGTAATTTAAATGCACTTACTTTAGGAAGCCCTGCTTGTGCTTTTTACTTTCATAATTTCCATAGACAATTTGCAGCAAAAGGCTTGCAAGTGTGATCAGCTTGGCATCAGAGGAGGCATAGAACCCTTTCAGTAAATTGTACCTGGCCTCATCAAATAGGATAAGAATCGCCAGTGGATCTTCAATCTGAAAACATGTAAAGTAAAGATATATTATATGGATCGATGTATATATAATTGAATCACTGTCAAATTAAGCCAAAGTTCAAATACTGAATTTGTGAAATCACGTTTATGTTATTATATTCAGTAACAAGCCAATATATTCATTCTTTAAATTCCAAGTTCACTCCATATCTAAGATTCAAAGCAACTAACAGCTAATTAAAGCAAACAGATGCTCAAAGTGGAATATAAATAATGATCAGATGTTTTGCACTTTGGGTCAATTATCAGTAGAGGGAAATATTGAGATTTATTTGGCAAGGGAAGAAAGCACGAATTAAATTGAAAATGTTACAAGAAGCTAAAGACGGGAGGATTTGGACTCCTGAACTGGAGACTATATTATCAAACAGCCATTTTACCATGAATGAATGAATGAATAACGCTGAGAAACAAAAGACTACTGTACCTAGAAGAGCATGACTTACAAATTGGTTGGCATGCCTTTCTATGATACAGGAAAAATAACACACACAGATACTTCCAAAACCACTCTATAAGGAATGTACTTTTTTTAGAATGGGAAAGAATAAAACAAAAAAATTATATTAAACTACCTAAGTGGCTTTCAACAATGGAAGCTTTTGCTTATCCAAATTTAATTAACTACGACAAAGTTATCACTTACAAAGATATTCTGGAGAAAGAAGGAAAATTGAAAGATGGACAAGATTTACAATGACGGTATTGACTTAGCATGGTGGCCTTATTTGCAAATTCAAACAAGATATTAAAAAGATGCAAAGACAACGGGATTTTATAAAGAACATATAGAATTTGATCAAATATTGTTAAAAACAGATGAAAACCTGATTAAGAAACTCTACAGATTTCTTCTAAACTTGAAGATGAAAGAAGAATAAGTAAAAGAAACAATGATAACATGGGCAATTTTTTTTGGATATTCTATAGATTTAGAAGATTGGAAAAGTTATGGGATAGAAATATTAAATTGATTAAAGCAGCTTCGTATAAAGAAAATTTGTATAAAATGTTTTATAGATGGCATATGACACCAGTAAGACTAGCGAAAATGTTTAAAAACACTTCGAATAATTGTTGGAAATGTAAACAAAAGCCAGGTACTTATTACCATATCTCAGTGGTGGCGAACCTATGGCACGGGTGCCAGAGGCAGCACTCAGAGCCCTCTCTGTGGGCACGTGCACTGTCGCCCCAGTCCTTGGCCTTCAGCTGAGTTTTATAAAACCTTTTTGCTTTAGGCTTCCGTCGCCGTGTGCAAAAAAAAAAAAAAAAAGTTTCAATCAATCAGTCAATTTCAACTTCTTGTGGGGGGGAAGATCTTGCAAAGTTGGCATTGATTGATTGAACTTTTTAGTCTCACCCAGTCTGCCGTTACCACCACAGCCACGCCCACCCAATGGGCCACACCCTCCCAATTGGCCACACCCAGCCAATGGGCCACACCCAGCCAAGGGCCACACCCACCCGGCACCTGACGATGCATAAATGGGTTTTGGGTTGCAGTTTGGGCACTCGGTCTCTAAAAGGTTCGCCATCACTGCCATATCTGGTGGTTATGCCCTAGAGCAAAAAAATCTGTCTTAAGATTCATACATGGTTGGAAAAGATGACTAAAATACAGATAGAATTTAAACCAGAACTGTTTCTGTTAGCAATACTAGAAGCCAAGTATGAGAAGGAGAAGGAGTATTTAATATTGCATATATTGACAGCAGCGAGAATAGCATTTGCCCAATACTGGAAAAATGAAAATTTACCAACTGAACAGATTTTAATTATGAAAATTTTAGAATGCGCAGAAATGGATAGATTAACTTTAGAGATTAAAGAGAAAGAAGATTCAGTTTATTTCAAAACATAGAATAATTTTTACCAATGGTTAGGAAAACGAACTAGTGAGAAATGTATGTGATACGTTATCATGAATATATACTAGTAAGATGAATGATATGTATTGACTAACTGATACTGTTTATGATTATTGTTTATCATATTCATCATAGCTATTTACTATTATATTAATTAGTGTTATTGAATATATGTGCCCTGACAATAGTCTATTTACTAAAGCTTGAAAATGTTAATGGGGGACAACCCCATTGTTGTTCCCATTCCTGTCCCAATCCCAATCCTGATTCCCACCCCGAACCTCAATCCCCATACTGACCCCATCCCTTCCCTAACCTTATAAAACTCAAAAAAACTTTATAAAAAAATAGAGGGAAACAATTAGTTTGATCTTATCATAAAAGTTAATTTCTTAGCTTTTTAAAAATTGTTGTATAATAGAGGAATCATATAAATACTTCTGGAGAAAAAACAATAACCAGCTTGTTGTTGCAGTCATTCATTCATATATGAATATATATATATTCATATATATTCATATATATTCATATATATTCACATATATATATATATATTTTCAGGAAATAAATCCTACAAATTTACTTCAGAAGATGTACTGCACATTACTGCATTTTAAAAACTGTATATATTTAAATAACCACAAATAACTGATGTTTCATAATAATTAAAATCAGTGAAATCTGGATTTTTTTTATACATTACAGATGGAATATGTGTAGGTTATACAGTGGTACCAAGATAACCTTGACAAGGGGCTGTAAGAGTGGCTACATTAGCTTAGCCCTGAAAGAGAGGAAAGGTTGAAAAAAAAAACACCTAAGACTGTCCCACCTTGATTCCTTTTGGTATATGAGAGCAGAGCTTTCAAGATTCTATTACTACACATTGCAACAATAAAGTAATCTTTGTGGAGTCTGTTTCCCAACCTGGCCTATTTCAAAAGACTGACGGTATGCCACTTTGGTTCAAAGTCACAAATAATTTTGTAGTTATTAAAAAAGCAAATATACAAACTGATTAAAAATCAGCAGATGACAAATATTTAACAAACAAACAAAAATTAGTAGTTAATGATAGTAGTCGGTTTTTATAGCTCATTAGTCTGATGCGTAGGAAGTATCCCATCCTCTTTTTTTTAACAAGATCATTTGTTTTGTCAAGTGTGTGCATAAAATAATTTCTGGAACATTCAGACAGCACTTTACTGATTGGCTTCCAGTTTCATACTCTGGTTTTAACCCTGCATGTGACATAGAGTAACTTGTAATGCCAACCTTTTTTTCAATCTCTAAAGGTAGTCTCACATCTCTTTTCAAGAACAGCTGAGGTGTTTCCCTCTGAGGATCCACGATTGTTAATTCAGTGAGTATTTCAGGCCAATCATGAACATGTTGGAGAGACTTATGATACGGCTTCAGCTGGAGACCTATACAACAACAGCTCTATTTAAAGGTACATACCAAAGTCATATATTTGACAGCTTTTTAGCTTTAAAGGTTATACTGATTAAAAGAGGAAGGAATTCAAAAATTATTCCTCAAGTTAAATTTAAATTCTAAATACTTGGAAATGAAATCACCTTTTTGAATCAATATAAAATTTGTAATTCATAATTCTGCTTTTTCATACCAGCAAGTCATATTAATGCTCCATTTTGAGTTGAGGAAATAGGGCTGATCATTTTTTTTCCCACAAATTCTGATAATATTTTCACTATGAAGTATAATTTAATTTCTGGTACACAAAGAAAAATGGCATGAAATGTCTCATCTTAAGCCATCCTCATCCTTCTTTCATGATCAGGAGTGGAATAAAATAGAATTTAATTTCACTTAACAGGTCCAAAATGTACTGCTTATATTCAAACCATACACTAAGTTTTAAAGTAAATTCTATTCTTTTACTACACAACTAATTTCAAAGCCTGAATTGCTTTTGCAGTTTGCTTAAAAAACCTATATTTATTTTAAATTATAGCTTTTAGTTTGTGTAAAAAAAAACCCTGCTCAGCTGAATAAGATTTTCCTCCTATCTTTATTGGTGAGAATCTGAATCTCCACGTTCTTGTTTCAAATCATGTCAAACAAAAAGAATGTCATTCTTTTTATTAATGTCATTAGGATCTTCCTAGCTTCTACAGTCATTCAAACTGAGTTTATAAGATTTAAGGGCTTTGCCCAGTTGCCATTAAAAATTAATTTAAGTACAGCTAGTCCTCGACTTATAACAGTTAATTTAGTGACTGTTCAAAATTATACTGAAAAAGGTGACTTGTGATTGTTTTTCACAGTTATGACTATTGTAGGATCCCCACTGTTGCTTGATCAAAATTTAAAAGCTTGGCAACTGATACATATTTATGATGGCTGCAGGGTTCCCGGATGATGTGATCAACTTTTGTGACCTGCTGACAAGCAACATCAATGGGGAAGCCAGATTCACTTAATAACCATGTTACTAACTCAACCACTGCAGTGATTCACTTAACAACTGTGACAAGAAAGGTCATAAAATGGAGCAAACTCACTTAACAACTGTCTCACTTAGTAACAAAAATTTTGGTCTCAATTGTGGTCACAGTCAAGGACTACCTGTATACAATTTCTACTGCTGTTGAAACTATTGAAAGTAAAAGAAAAAATGTACTCTAAAATCAACATGTTTCAGAAAGAATTAAAGCATTTTTAATTACTTACTAAGGTTTTCAGAACAGATCCAAATAGTGAAGTATTGCTGTGTGTCTTGAGAAAGACGCATGCCTTCCATTATCTGCTGCACAGTAGTATTGTTTCCGTATTTCAATTCCACAGAACGATATGAACCATCCATTCGATAAATTCGTACTTTTTCATACTATGGAAAATTGAAGGTGAAGATCAGCAAATTTTGCATAGTATTAATAACAAAACAAAATACATAGTTATCGGAACTTTCCCTTTTACAATGTATGAGCATCCCCAAAGTACAAGACAAGGTCAAGAATGATCGTTCATCCCGTTTTCTATGCACAAAGTCAGGAGAAGCATTAGTAGAGTTCACAATAAAATTCCAAGAATTTCAGAAAAGTTTGTTTTAATCTACTGAAATCACATCATACTGATAGAAAGCAATATAATAAAATTAAAATGCAAAAGAAACAGCCTGCTCTGTTTTAGAAAACCATTATTTATTAAATTACATTATTAATTTTAACAGAGATTTTAGTTCTTGGCCTTGCTATAGTGGTCTAAAATCAGTCAATTAAATTATAGGTCATTATACTTGATATAAACGTTTTTTAACCTATAAAATGTAGATATTATAATATTAGAAACATTATACCTACTTGTTTATTAATGGCCTCTTTAAGTAACATAGCTGTTTTTTTCCACTCATTTTGTTTGTTTTCTTCACAGATATTCAGTGGTGTTCTTCCTTGTTGATCAGTGATGTGCTATAAACAGAAATAAGACAACTTTCAAAAATACAGTTTTGTAAATATAAAATCAAATGGTATTCCTTTTAGTGAGACTTGAGTTTATCTAACCCAGGAATTTTTACATATATTTTTACACCACTATTATTTAATAATTTTTAAAAAGTCATTGAAATCTCACAAAATAGTCACAAAAAGTAATTTTTATAAGATTTTGGATATGTTTATATTGTCTTTTCTTTCTTTTTTTTTTTTTTGGGGGGGGGGGTGTTTCCAACATAACAAAAGTTCCTGATCTCTCCAGGATTTCAGAGAGGTGTCTTTTCCATCCATTTGTAGAACTGCAGGGACTTGTACTTGAGATTGCTTTCCTGTAAAATATCTGCTATATTATTATTGCAGTTTGGGTAAGAATTGCAACATGTACAATACTTTTCCTGTTCCAAAAGCCTTCTTAAGTTATCATCTAAATGTCTCATACTCATCAGGCTTTCCATTTCCAACAATTAAGATCTGGATCTTTTAGGTTTGAAGTTCAAACCACTTCTAAATGTAAATAAAAGCACTTTTGAAACTTTTCCAGTTCTTCCTGGGAAAAGGTCAATTACATATATTGTTCAAAGGCTAGCAATGATGTCAATCTTTACTGTAGCGATAGCAAATCAGAAATACCACAGGAAAGTTCGCTTCTTCCTTTAGAATCTTAACTTTTTAGTATACCACTGTGATACCGAAAAGCACACCTACTTTTGTAATTCAAAGGACAAAATGTATCCCTTTAAGCAAGTTTACCTGCAGCTGGCAAAAAAAAATCTTACCCTGTCAATTTCTGGATGGTTTAGGAGAATCTGAACAATATCAGCATGACCACCACCAGCAGCAAAATGAAGAGGAGAGCTGAGTTGTCCATTCAACAAATTTGGATTGCACTTTCCTTTCTCTAACAGCATTCGTGTTGCTTCTACTTTTCCATACCTGCCGAAAGAAAAGAAATAGAAGAAAATAAAGGATTTTATTTTATGCAACTAGGGTCACTTCCTTGTGAGATAGGCACCTATATGAAAAAAATAAAAATAAATACATAAAATATGTGCTCATCAATTATCCAAACAACACAACAGATTTTTTGAATACCCTGCCTTCCTCAGAATATAGGTGAAATCTAATAAAAAATAAGTTGCTTATGCCTTTATTTAGGATTCTAAATGAAGTTTTTTTTTCAATATCTTAAGAAGGCCAGATATTTTTATCTATCACTACATCCAAATTTTTCAATAAAATGTTCACAGCCTCTGAGTTTAAATTCCAGTAAAGGGTTGAACATATAACATATATACAACCTAGCATAAGGCAGCCATCTATGCCTGATACGTTCCAACAAGAATAAAATCAATTATCTCATTCTTTCTAATGGTCAGTAGTGAATATAACCAAAATTATAAAAAGCCACAGGGAAATGTTGAGGCTTCTACTATGAGGCCCAGACAAATTAATACCTTACCATTCTTGTCTGACTGCAAATGGCTAAAAAAAAAAAGGAATCTCCATCATTCTCAACAAAGATTCAAGATATTTTACAGCAGGAAGGCAGCTCTTAACAGCAGCAACGCAGTCTCACAACCAGGTGAGATTAGCCAAGACTCCACAAAACAAATTATACTTGAGTTGCCAGAACATCTTTTCACCACCAATGAATAAATATCATCAGAAGTTTTTGAAATACTATTATTATCATGGGGATAGTATATAAGTGTAGATCAGGGGTGTCAAACTGCTGGCCCGCGGGCCAGACACATCATGTGGAAGTTGTGCCCATCCCATTGCTGGCAATGGCAAAACAGTCCTGATACGTTGCACAACGTCACATGATGTCATGATTTTGACATGTCTGGTGTAGATGATGGACATATATCCAATATGGCTTCAACTGGATTTACATTGTAGCACAATAATCTCTCCTGGAATCTTATTAATGGGATTCAAACTTCCCAATATGGGATATGGAAGGTAGACTTTGCCCACTTCACAAAATCAACTACAGCAATATTCACTCAGAGCAGAGGGGAAGCAAAGCTGTCACTCAGTACCACACATTTTCTTGTATCTCCTTTTGTTTTAACTATCTCATTAATTTTTAGCAATTTTTAATGGGACTATCTTTTAAATTCAATTTATACTACTTTGGGTGAAACAAATGAGAAGGTAAAAGCTTAGATAAAGAATTTTTTGTGGACCTGAATGATGTGGGGAAAAGAAAGAAGTGATATGTCATAAGCCTGGACTCTTCTTTACAGAGATCAGCCAAATAAAGATAGAACGCTTTACAAGACATGGATCTGTAAGTAAAACAGATGCTTCTTTATTTCAATCAAATTTAATTCCATAGAATGGAACCTTCAAACAGAAACAGAAAAACAATAGCTGTCAGAACATTCCTATCTGTTAGGGAAGAACAAAATGGGAGTCAGGATTCCCTCATGGATTCTCATTCCAGCTAATTAGTCCATCTACCAACCTTGGGAATTAAAAACAAGCTTAAAGATAAAAGCTGAAATCAGAAGAGGAACAAGTTCCCCTGGGAAAATTCAATAGACTATATGGCAAAACAATGCCTGCATACAGCTTAAACTTTGATCTCCATTATTTGAGCAGTCCTCAGCCATAAAACATGAACGGATATACAGTATATAAATTTATATGTAAAAGTATCATACTGGACTATTCATGTCTATCAAAGCAGCCTATTTAACCCTTTTATCTGGGGCAGTAAGTAAAGAAAAAGTAAAACAATCTGACAAAATGCCACAGTACCTGAATATTCTTTAAAGCACAAGTGTCAAACTTGCCACGTCACATGACATGTCGTGATGTATCGCGGCTCTTTTTGCATTGCCGGCAATGGGATGGGTGCGGCTTCAGTATGATAAAATATGCCCATGGGCTGGCCGTTTGACACCCCTACTTTAACACAAATGGGGTAAGCTTCACACATACTAAAGTTCCCTCAGCTGCTACAGAAGAATCTTCGTAATTCAAACTGCTTATGGCAAACACAATAGACTGCTCTCAGCATTTTTTTTAATAGCTGTACTATCAAATGCTGTAATTTTAAGACAGCAATAGTAATTTTTCTAAGCCAACATACAGCCAGCCTGGCCAGATAGATCTATGTGCTTCTGAATGGCTCCCAAGTGTCTTAAATCATAACAGATTCTTCTTTTCAACAACTTACCATCCTACTGATGTTATTTAAAAAGATAGCATATTTAGGTTGGTTTCAAATCTTGTCCAGCAGAGTCTTTTATCACAAAAAGATTAAACTTCTATTCAATTCTAGGTCAGCTATAACAAGCAACCATCTTAGTCCCAGATGACTCCTAGGCAGCCACTGCACTACCCCTGGATTTGAGAAAGTGAGACCATGGGAGTCAATTGGATCTACTAAATCAGGAGTGTCAAACTGCCAGTCCGCGGGCCGGATGCATTATAGCAAAACCGCGCCCATCCCATTATTGGCAATGGCAAAAAAGTTGCGTACTAAATGAAGATTTTCCAGACTCAGCTGAAGCAGGACTTATCAGCACTTTTGACTCTTTACCAAGAGACAAATAAAATAATATTCTATACAAGTTAGAAAATCTGAGGAAAACTATTGGAAAGAGTGGTTGCAGCTCAGCCGCTAACAGATTTTGTTTCCTCAACTGCTGACACAAAGTGTCTCCCCCTCAGTGGAGAACAGAATGGCTGGGACGTCGTCTTCCAGTCCACAACTCCTCAAATTCTTATGAGCTAGTAGGGGATCGGGGGGGGGGGATTTTCAAACACACCAAGATATTGGGGGCAAAATGTTGACTCTAAACTGCTTAGAGAGGGCTATAAAGCACTATGAATTGGTATATAAGTCTAACTCTAAGTGATATTGCTATATACAATTGGGTTTATAAGCAGCAAACAGGGGGCAAGAGGCAGATATCTTGTTGATCCAACTGTGCAGAACAGCATACAGCAAGAACTATCCACCAATTGTAGCTGAAAAATGTCCTTGCAACACAAACTTTATCGGACTATGCTGATTTTGTATTCTAAGAACAAGATCCCCAGGAACAATTACAAAATTTGCATGAGATAAGTTAATTCTTGCAGGAGGCTTGGTTGTTTCCCATTGGCTCTTCAGCAAAATACAATGATCTCAGGTGATTAGCTCACTAAAATCAAATCTAAACCATTTGACTATCTTTGAATGATGATGTAACTTTCCTGTTAACCTGGAATATTGGTGGCTGATCTACACCATTAAAAGACCAATTCTTTTTTATTGATCTATCACAACTTGACATGCTTTTCCGTCCAGGAATCTTTGGCTATATCAGAGATGGAGATGGATGGCTGTTGGATCAGCTCTATTTTGGCACTCAAGGAGTAATGCAGGAAGGAGACCCAAACATGGCATTGTGACTTTAGTCACAAGCTTTGCAATGAATTTTTTCCATATTAAAATCAGTTTAATTCTGAACAATTCTAGATTGATCTGCAACTGCATCGAACTCACCAGCATGCATAATGGATAGGTGCCCAGTGATCACTATCCAACTGATTTACTGAGAAGTTTTCATCCAAAAGTTGACTCAGTAATTCAGTATCACCTTCACAAGCACTGCGATGAAGAGGAAAATCATCAACCCACTGACGTTCCCTAAAAGGAATAAAAAAATGTAATATTTAAATTGTGTCCCAATAGAAAGCAGTCAGAATATGATATGAATGTGCACAAAATAGCATATGAATCAATTTTATAATGCAGGGTACAAGTGAATACACTTGAACAAATTACATGCCAAATTTATATTTCAAAAATCTAGTTCAGTAACATGTTTCATTTTAAAAATCCATTCACTTTTGACAAAACCTTTTAAAAGTACGTTCTGTATATTATCTATAAGAAAGGTTTACTTCATGTTGAATTCAATTTCCAATGCTTTCAGAGACTCATCTACAGTATATAGTTTTTTGGCAGCACTAGAAACAGTTTGTTTTTAGCATGTTTTTGTGACTTTCCAGTCTAGTTTACTGCTCTAGAATTTCTTTTTGGGCTCCTATTCAAATATTAACTACGAGTGATCCTGTGTAAATTTTTGTATCAGTAGAGTTTGTTTAGGTATTGGTACTTAGGTGCCATTCCTCTTCCCCAAAGAGCTTTCACCCTACCAAAAGCAATAATAAAATCAATAAATAAGCTTATTAAAGGCATTTTTTTAAAAAAGAAAATGAAAATTATTTGTATGAAAATATAATTCAAATTGGCACCTTTGCACTGTGCTGCTAGCATAAATTATTGCGTATTGACAGCCATAGCAACCAACAGAGAGATGCTGAATTGTATAAAACCTGACACATCATTAGAAGCTAACACCTGATTTACTTTGGCCATGTTATGCATACAAATTCATTGGAGAAGTCAATGATGCTAGGAATGGTTAGTGAAACAAGAAGAAGGAGGCAAGTAAAGAACACACTGGCTTGATAATATAAAATAGGAATGTCAAACTACCGGCCCGTGGGCTGAATGCGTCACGCCCAAACCGCACCCACCCTATTCCCAGAAATGGGGAAAAAGTTGCAATACGTTGCGCAATGTCAAGTGATGTCGTGAGTTTGACATGCCTGATATAAAACATGATACAAAAATGAATATCCAACAATTGAAAGAAGCTGTGCTTGTCAGGACAGCATGGAGAGCACTTGCATATAAAGTCACCAAGAGTCAGTTATGACAGGTTAAAACAAAAACAAATAATTAAAATGAATAAAAATAACATAGTACTTGTCTTCCATCACGCTGCTCATGCTGCGCTGCCACTTTTCCCGTTTTGGAATCTGTATTTTTGAATAATCTGGAGCTCCAAGTCCAAAATACGGATTTATAACCACTTTGTCCACCTGGAAATATTGCAGAATTTTAAAAAGTTTAAAGCCCAAAATGAAAATATTAAGCCCAAAACTAGTATTAATAATTATTTCTTCTTACTCTGTTGGTGTATTGAAGATCAGATCCAAATAAAGGATTGTAAATACACAAGTCCGCCTTCTCTAGCGCAAGCATTTTGCTCTTGATTTCCAACGCAGTGTATCCCATGTGAAGGGAACTCTCACTCTGTCCGGGTTCAACAGCATAGGCAGGGTTTGTAACATTTGTTTTAATTCGCTCTAAAGGAGATGGTCTGAATAAAGCTGGGATTGAATGCGATTGCGAATGCCGTTCTTCTAACCATCTGCAGAAAAGAATGAGTTAGACTCATCAATATTACCTTTATAATCAGACAAAAAACAGGATGATTGCCCCTCACTGCCCCACCTATAAATGGTAGAGATCATTTTACATATACTGTTAATATTTCTGTTAACATGCCCTTTTTAAAGTGTGAATTCTGGCAGGAATATACATATAAATACATTAGGGACATGCATGGAACAACTATTTGTGGATGGTTCATATTTAGACTAAAACATTTCATCAGGGCATGGATCTGAAACATATATGCTCCAACCAGAAGTATTTTAGAGTGAGAAGAATGGGAAAAACCCAAAGCCACTAATGGCAGGATATGATGACAGCAGTTATGGAGAAGTAGGGGAAAGAAAGGTAGCAGCAAGATGTAAGGAATGGATAGGCCAGCTGGATATGTCATACTTGAATTCAGACACAATAACATCACCATTTGGCTGCTGCCCTTTTACTCAACAATATTACATCATATCTATCTAAGCTTCCTTTCCTTTTACTTTCCCAAATGGGACAGCTGAGCCTGTGGAATATGTTGCATTGGACTTCAAAGGTGGCAGCATACAGCTCCATCAGCTAGGGGTAAGGAGGACAGGCAGGCTGATTCATGAAGAAGGTATAAGAAACACTGACGCCTCACCTCATTTGCCCTCTCAGACCTCTCCACGGAGTTGGGGGGGTCGGGGGGGGGGTAGCTGAAACTTATAATTATTAAAGTGTTCTGAGTTTCATTCATCTGCATTATAACTGGATCAGAAAAGTTCAGCTGAATTTCAATCCCATATTTTTTATTTCATATTTGATACAAAATGCATTTCTCCATTCCATGCACCAGGCACTAGGTATCTCAGAAAAGTTAATTACTGAGAGAGAGTGGGGGGGGGAGAGAGAGAGAGAGAGAATTTTAAAATCAAGTACTTTTGCAAAACATTTCTTACTTATCTAAGAAAAGTAACATTCTAGCTGTAATTGTAGCAAAATGAGAACTTGATTCACTGCAGACTCTCATGATGTCTTGTAAACAGTAGAAAACTGGGCATCCAGGACTGTAAATATATTTTGTATTATCTATAAAGAAAAGAATTTTTAAAAATGTAAAGCAATTTCTTTTAGCTGTCTTTTTACATTTTACATATACTTTTATTTCTGTAGGTATATTTTTCAACATATTCTCCTTAGACTGTACAGAAATACTTTTACTGCCGTATCATCCAACTGCAGTAATTCATTTCTGGGGGAAAAAATTGCTTACAAAGGCCTCATAATTTGCCATTGTAAATCTTCAAGTATCACTTTAACCAAATATGGATTCTTGGTTGCTCCTGCTTCTTTTCTGTCAGTGTGAATATCTACACAAAAAGAAAAAATGTGGCTTATGGCTCTAAGATGTTAATAAAGAAACAGCCAAAGTTCCTAGTTTAAAGATAACAACAAACAAATCGTTTTAGGGAAGATGAATATCCAATGAATGATAATTGGTAGTAAACTTAAAATACTCTAACAAACTTAAGTATTGGCAAAACAATTATAGCCCAGAATATAAATTGGTAAAGTAAAAATACTATAATTTAAGAAATTAAGGAAAGCATCTTTGTTTTAAGACAAAAACCTCTTTTTGGAACTTGGAGTAACGTCATCCAAAAGGCCAAGAAGATTCTTCGGTTCTGTCATCCAAGAAGCTTCTTGGATGAAAAGCGAAAAGTTTTCAAGGAAAAAACCAAGAAAGTCCAATTGGGTTTTGGAAAACCACCTTTGGTATAACTATAGCCTGGATGATTGAGAATCTCCATGGACAACTTGGAGTAATGTTTGTGAATCAATGTTTTACACAGATAATTACATCACTGACATTTTTTAAAGTCTCCCACACAAGTCAGCAAGCAGCAGTACCACTAGTCACCACAGAAAAAATAGGAAATCCTTAGATGTGCATAAAAAATGCCTGCACAAGAATCATCTGTAGTACCTTCCTACATATTGGGAACTACTGGCATAAAACTTTCTTCTCCGTTGCTTAGTTCACAAAAAGATTCTAATGAGATTAGTAAAAGATAACCAATAAAGAATAAAGACTGAGACATAAACGTGTTTTCATAAACACTATAAAATGCACATTTAGGCAAAACAAAGTAATGGGATTAATTAAATAAGCAGCATGGGTGAATTATTCACCTGTATCACATAAACATAAACAACCAGCCATGCAAAAAATCAACAAATAAAAAACAACACAAGCCACATCAAAACTAATATAGAGAGAATTCTAAAAAATTCTCCAACAGAAGCAATACATATATACAGCGTATTTTCTAACTTTTGATTAACAACTGTACTTTTAAAATGCACTTTTTATCTTACCTTTGACAACTGTGGGTACAACGAAAAGAGATGCATCCTTGCCTGTGTCTTCACCAAGAGGAAATGTCTTCATTAGCAGAACTCTTTTTCCTTCATATAAATAAGATTTTTTTTGTCAATTAAATAGCTGAAGCAGTATTTTTCTACCACATGTAAAATATACTGAAAACTATATTGATGGCCTGGGAATTTAGAATTCAAGAAATATTCTTGAAAAATCCGAGGATCTGGAAGTAACAGTGGATATAAAAATGTTTGTGAATGTTATCAGATCATGGATGATTTTAAATAATTATCAAGTATGACATCATCCTGCCACTTGATTTACTGTACATAGTTGGTTATCTTTAGGAAAAATGGCTGTAACACACCTTACAAAGGACTACCTTTAATACTATTTGAAAACTCTAATTAATTTTAAAAATACATCCATCTATATGAATGTAGGAATAAGACACAAAGAGCATATTAGCTATTTATATTTTCCAGACACATTAGAAAGTATTGGTTTTAACTGGGACTTAAGCTGTTTAAATATTATAAAAGCTTCTTTTCTGTACTTTCTGGCCATATATCAACATTTCAGGACTTATTCAAAGCATCTGAAATTAGATTAGAAAAGACAAGAGAAAGGGTATTTAAAAGCAGGAGAACTTTTCATTTTTCTTTTAGATAGAAAAAATCATCTTATATTGCAAAAAGAAATCAAAATGCATCTTTTCTAGCAAGCATTCAGAGAATTAGAATAATATTTTAGTTGGATTGAATGCTACCAAGCATGAGGCAGGATTATTAACTGATGGGGTTAGAATTTGGAAATGTTCTTCTTTTATGGTTGGTTATAGGAAAACACAGAACACAAATATTAAAGCCATCATTACCTTTAATCCCTTGGTTTCCTGGTGAAATTGGTTTGGTGGTTTCTAGTATATAATCCAGGATGCTTTGGGTTATATCACTGCCTTCCTGAATCTTAGTTTCTAATAACATTTTCCTTCTCTTTTTCTTATGTCCTTCAATGGGAACCTCAAGTAACAAAATCTTGCAATGATAAAATTAAATATTAGTGAAACACAGAAATCCATATAAATTTTAAAAACTAACACTTATACCTAACGTTTGGGATGATATAGACTAATCTTTCCCAATCCAAAATTCTCCTGTGGAAATTATAACTCACAAAAGTTCAAACTAGCAATGGTAGAATAAGACATATTTTACTGCATGTAAAGTAAATGCAATAAAAGTAATGTCAGGAGAAATTATCAGCAAAAATATATACACTTCATGAAAGAAGTAACTAAATACTATGTCAAGAAATTTCTGGACATATTCCAAAAGTATTGCATCATGCTTACAAGCAAGACTTGTTTTTTCCTAAATCAACTATAGATTACTTTTTTCTATAAATCTTTTTTTTTTAAAAAAATATAACATTTTCTTTTTTTAATTTGTCAAAATACATTGCAATAGAACTTTTGTCACTATTATTTGTTTCAGCCAGTTCTGATCATTAAGCATGGATTTGCTTCAAATACAATATTTTAAAAGTTTATGGTTGAAATTAGTTTATTATCACAATTAAATGGTTTTAAATTTATTGAAGAACTATATAATAAAGCAAAGAGAGAGAGAGCAACAGCAATAGCACTTAGGCTTATATACCGCTCCATAGTGCTTTACAGCATTCTCTGAGAAGTTTACAAATGTCAGCATATTATCCCAACAATCTAGGCCAGGAGTATCAAACTGCCAGCCCATGGGCTGAATGCGTCACGCCAAAACCGTGCCTACCCCATTGCTGGCAATGGGGAAAAAGCCACGATACATTGTGACACGTCACGTAATGTCGTGAGTTTGACACCCGTGATCTAGGTCCTCATTTTAGCAATCTTGGAAAGATGGAAAGCTAAGTCAACCTTGAGCCCTAGGATCGAACTCCAGGCTGCGGGCAGAGTTATCCTGCAACACTGCATTGTAACCACTGTGCTACCAGAGATATTATAAATATTCCCCAAAATAAAAATAAAAACAAATAAATGCAATATCTAATATTGAAACAAAATCTAAAATAAAGCAAAACCACAATGCTAATTTCAAAGCATTTATCTCATATCTGTTTTATTACCTTTAATAAGGAGCAACTTTATACTTTAAATTCAATGTCATCTACATAAGTCACATCTGTGGTATCACCCACCATTATGATTGAATAATTACAATTGAGAAATTAGCCATTTATATAATTATATAATCATCCCCAACTTATGAAAGGATGGCTTATGCAGGCAAAAATGTTTATGATGGAAATGATATTGCTGGAAAGGAAATCATTCTAACACCTGAAAATATTTCTGAATTTTTATTTGCATTAAGAAACATTATGGATATATTGTGGGATTCAGCCAGTTCGCACCATTTTGTTGCCCAGGCCCAGAATGGACTTCCGGAAGCAACATCCACACAGAGAACCAGTTGTTCACATATTTGAATCCCACCAATGATATATTGATAACTACATGTAATTACTGGTAATTATAAAAATTCTTTTCATTAAAGTCAACTCCGGCCCCCTTATTTTACCTCATAGGATTTAGCACGATATTCACGAGAATTGAGGCTTGCAGTATTTTTTGGACGAATGACAGCCACATAGGCTTCTGTTATAGTTTCTGGATTTCCCATCATTTGTTGTTAATTTTTCTTACTGGAAAAAAATCAACTGAAAATAATAATTAAATTCAGAAAACAAGGTTCCAAAACCAGCAGTGTTTCAATTGCTCTGTCCTTCTTAATCTACATGAATATTACATGAAATCATATGCTTGCAAATCATATGCAAAAGGAAACTGTCTATCTGTGGTTTCTAAAGCTAGGTTGGTATCCTTTTTAAGATAAAGCTTGCAGTTTGCAACAGATGTTTGTGAGCTAACTACAGATTGGAAAGATTCTAATGCTTTCATTTTTGATATTACTAGACACTGGAGGGGAAGAGACTGAATTACTCCCTTCCTATAAAGATATAAAGACTGCACTCTTTCATATAAGTACTTTATTTCAAAAGGCGGATATATGAAATTCTCCATGTGCTGCATTTCTGCAGTCAGCCTTTCTGCTTGAAGATCTCATTAAAGCAAACACAATTTCATTATGATTAGTAAAGCTGATTTTCATGCGATGCTTTCAATATCAAGCTACAAGTTTCCGATATGAAAATAACTACATGTGGGCAAAAATAATCAGTCCCATATCTACTTATAGATATTATATATAAGTCTGAAATTATGTTATTTATAACATTCTGATAACTCAAAAGTCAAAGTAGTTATCTTTTAAAAAGATTATAAATGAAATATATATACTGTACCAAAGTACAGTGTTTGACAGATCAATCTTATTTGGACTATTCTAACAAAATCTTGTACAATTTTATTATTTATTATAGCATGATTTTATAGATTATTTTATTAAAGGCATGACATTTTTAAATGTAAATACAGAATAGATTTTCAGTGGAGTGGGATTATAAACTATGATGCAGAATGCCATATATAATTACTCACAAAGCAACTGTTGATTTATAACATAAATTTTTACATTGGTAAATATAGGTTCATGCAAATGAACCCTAAGTTTGGTTAACTACAATTTAAATATCTGATTAGATTTACACAATACACAAGTCAAGACTCAAAAGTTCCAAGCTCCCTTTTTTGGAGTCAGTCCCTCCTACCTATTACTGAAAAAAATTGGTGGCATATTTTTTCACTGTTTAAGATAAAGAACATGAAAACTATTGTTTAAGATCAAAAATAGGTTTGACTGCTTTTAAGTCTTAGAAGGCCTTACAATTCTTACAAGCCTATCTGTTTCAAATTATGATCTTTATCCCCATAAAAAAGCACAATGAAAGCCAGGATGTAAGTTATTTGGCTTAGGCTTAGCTAACTGGGCACACTCATCCATAGTTTGATTAAAAGGCAAAACTACCCACTTTTGAAGCCATGATATAGTTGAAACTTTTGATTTGTCAGTTTCTTCTTGCAGACTCCCTTTGATGTTTCTCAACTCTAGAAAAGATACTTTAATTATTAAAAAAAATGGGAGAAATTGCCATTTATGATGTTATATTTTCCCTATATTGTCAAATGGGACTCTTGCTTTATATAACTATCAAAAGGCTGTTAGCAATGTGTCATATGCCTGATCTGAAAATGACACAGGGTTGAGATTGAGTTTATTCAGTTTTTTAAGAGTGCCACCATATTAATATGTAGCACATTTTAGCATCTAGATCAACCACAAGTTGGTTTATATTGTCTATATTATTTTGTTCCATTGCTGGGCAATAGTTCTTTTGCAGTTTTATATCAGTCAATTAGAGAGAATTAAGAGTTAAGGCTACATTAAAACAGCATTAAGATATCTTTATAGAGAACACTAAAATAGAAGGTCAGTTTATAGGCTCATTAGAAACTGATGATAAAAGTCCCCCCCTAAATGTAATTGTGGTGGACAAAAACTCTGTATCAAAGCAAAATTTCTGTTCTGAGTGGTAGAACAATCATTGTAGTCCTCAACTTACAACAGTTCATTTGGTGACCTTTCAAAGTTACAATGGCAGTGAAAAAAGTGACATGTCCATTTTTCACAGTTACGACCCATGACCATGTGATCAAAATGCAGATGCCTGGCAGGTGGTTTGTACTTATCACCATTGCTGTGCCTCAGGGTCATGTGATGACCTTTGCAACCTTTTGACAAGGAAAGTCAATGAGGAAACCAGATTCACTTAACAACCAGGTTACTAACTTATCAACTGCAATGATTCACTTAACAACTGTGGCAAGAAAGGTTGTAAAATGGGGCAAACTTCATTTAACAAATATCTAACTTAACAACAAAAAATTGGGCTCAGTTATGGTCATAAGTCGAGGATTACCTGTAGTATAAAGATTTTTTATTCAGTTTTTGACTCCTGGCAATTGCAGTTGTCCCTGCAGGGGTTTTTGGGCAAAATTTCATCTGTGGTTCTCGATCCTAGGGCTGAGAGAGAGTGACTAGCTTCATGCCTAAGGTGGATCTAGAACTTATGGCCTCCTCCACTAAACAGGCTGCTCTCAAAATTATAGTGCTGCAATTTTTCTTAGAATGGATGATTACAGACTGCAAGTACATGGTCATAAGCAGTGTTTAACAAGAGGAGTCCCTATAGATACAGGATACAATCATTCTCTGAGTTGCCTGGACAAATTCCTGCAGTTTTCTTGTCAGGGGTTTCTGTTCAGTTTTGTTCAATTGTTTGCCATCACCTCCTTCCTAGGGCTGAGAGAAAGTGAAGATACTTCTGTCACCCAGCTGACTTTGTGGGACTAGAATTCACAGATCTCCCGCTTTCTAGAACGTTGCCCTAACCACTACACCAAACTGGCGCTCAGTAACTTCTTAGTAGAAATCAGTAACTGCGGGGTCCTTGGTGCCCTCTGAGCTTGCTTGTTTTCTTGCAGATGTTTCATTACCCAAACTGGGTAGCATTGTCAGTGCTGAACAGGCTATATTAATACGAACACAATTTTTATTATTATTTCTTTTCCTGCACGCAGTGATTTCAAACAATAACCCATACTGGTCTCAGTCGGAAAGATCCACTCATCCCCAACGCAAAGATAGTCCAAGTGGTCCTTAATAAGAGGACCACCGATTTCGGGAGGGAGGGAGCTGCGGAGGCTCGCCGATTGGCTACCTGAACGAGCATCTGCAGCGGGACCAAAGGGACAGAGAGCGAGATAAAGCCCTGGAGCGCCTAGCTTTGGAAACTCTCGGTTTTCCTTACCACTAAGCCTGGAGACTTCCCAGAAAAAGGCGCATCCTCCAAGCCCGGGTTTCGCTTCTCTCCGGCGGGGCTCCGCCCTACTCCCACCCATTTAGCCGGCATTAGATCCGGTTCCCGTGCGGCTCCGGCGGCCGATAAGGTTCCGGGTCGGAGGCCTGATAAATGGGCGCCGCCGCTGGTCGCGGGAGGAGCAGTCGCCTTGTTGTGGCTGCCGGAGATGGATCGGCTTAAGTTGGGGCTGTGAGGGCCGGTCAGAAGAAGGGGAGACTGAGGAAAGAGAGCCGCGGACGGGATCGGCACTCCGAAAGGCAGCCTTACGAGCAGCCCTGCCGCTTGCGCGGAACAAAGCGGGGAGAGGAGACGCTCCTGAGCGGCCGCTCCGATTCTCATCTGGCTTCGTTCCCGCACCTCCTGATTCTCCCTCTGTGGAAGCCGGCGGCGGCTGTCTACCTTGTCCTCGGTGCCTGGAAAGCAGGCCGATCGCCCGGGAAAAGCAGCTCGGTAAGCGCTTGTGTGGAGGGGGGGCGACAGGGACACAGGCAGAGGTTGCCCCAGGAGCGCTGAGGGGTGGATGGAAGAAGGTTAGAGGCGCCTAGAGCAGATGGGAAGCGTTGCTGAGGGGAACGGCGTGAGGATGCTCGTTCCGTCTTCCTCCTTCGACCCCAGATACGCCTGGGATTTAAAAACCGCAGTTTGGGTATTCCTTGGTATTCCTTGGTATCTTCCTCCCCATCCCCAGATTCTTTCTCATGCCCCTTCCCTGTAGCTACCGCTAGGAAGGAGACGCTCAAGGCCGGGGGGAAACTGCAAATCTCGGCCCCAGTAGGCAGATTAGCCTCAAGGTTTAATAAAAAAACAACAACACTGTAATACAATGATCCTAGCCGAAACTTCACTGCCTTTCGAGGGCGTTCGGGGGGGCGAGTTGGACGGGTCTGTGGGACTATGGAAGGCCCGTGGAAGGTGGAGACCCAGGCGGGTGGAAGAAAGTCCGATTCAGAAAATGCGGGGCTTAGCTCTTGCCTCAGAGCGGTTTGGCTGAGATTTCCATCAGCAGGGTTGGAAATACCACCACCCCATTCGGACTATTCTTTTAAACAGTAATCCAGAAGAAGGGTAGATTATTTTTCCCCTCTCGGAAAATGCTTTATTTTTCAGTGTAAGTTTAGCAGGTAAAATAAAGATTTCCAATCTATTTTGGCAAATTTTAATGTAGGATGGACAGGTTCTAAATTGATTCTAATTAGCAACGAATTGAAGGATGTGGTCTTTTATATGGAAAGACATGCATCAAATTAGTAGCAGAAAGTTAATTTACTGATTGATAATGGACTACTGTCTGTGCACAGATTTCTTGGAAATTATTATGTAAGGGGCTAGTGTGAAATATTTTCCATAAATTCCCACTTCTTTCTTACAAAATTGGCCAGGTGACAGATTCAATTTATCTGCTAACTTTGACTTTTCTATGCAAACAAAGTCGTTTTCAAAACAGGCAAATCAAATTTCTCTCTGTTACATTATGGAATAGTTCAAGAAAAACTTATTATTTTTCTATTTCATTCTATTTCTATTGACAGAATTCAGATTGTGATTAGAGCTATCCTATTTTTATTATTGATCTTTAAGTATGCCCCCCCATTTATGGAAACAGCTGTTAGACATGAATGTATTTAGTAGCATTATTCTCTACAAACAAAAGTCTGAGGACAGGATCTTAGATTTGAATCACTTAGACATTTTAATAGGATGTTCCTTCATTGTCCATTTTTAAAAGCTGCCTTTAAATTCAGCTAGTATTCAGCTAGATGGTAAATCCAAAATGGACAATGGGAATTTATGGCTAAAGTTGTGGGATTAAATTGAAACTTTTATGTGGTTAAACGAAAGGGACCTTATCTGAAAAGCTTGAAAAAGGAAAATGTTTTAGAAATTTCCAAAAAAATTGAATGGCTGCTAAGCATAATTACATTTAAATTAGGTAGTTTCCAAAGTATGGGAAGTAATTATATTACACATTTATCCAACCAACATATCTTTTATCTAGTTATGAGTGCCACATTTTCAGAAAAAAATTAAACTATAACTGATAAAGAAAAAAGCAATAAAAGTGCAGCAAACTGTAAACTAATCCTTTCTATGAGAGTTGGTATAATATAACATTAAGAAATCACAACTAAAGCAATAAAGCACTTTTCTTTCATACAAAAGAAGGCTGAGACTTATTCCCTATTACCATATAGCGGAGGCTATTGAAGTTTCAGTAAGGGATTGATTGTTAGGAAAAAATTCCTTAATGATAGATATAATTAAGCATATACCTACTATGGGGTTGCGGGGAATTGGATACCACTTGGTAACTGAACAACAACATATTATGTACATCCATATTCACCAATGGAAGTGCTGGAGATGTTGGTGATTATTGCAATTGCACGCACAGGTTAATTCCATAAAATTCTATAATTTTATTTCAAACTATCTCAAGCCTAGGCTGATTTATTTGGTTTTGATTTTGAGTTACGTTTTATTACCCTGTTTTTCTGTCTTTTAATATTCTATAGCATGCATTATCTTTAGGGACTGAAATGGGCAAAAATAAATAAAATCTGTTGGGAACCATTTTAGTATGGATCTCTGAGCTTAATGAGGTTGGACTCAGAAGCTCAAATAGCCTTTCCAACTCTTTAAATCTTATTATAATTTCATAAAAAATTCTGAACCACCAGGTAGTTTTGTCTCTAATACTTTTTTTAAAAGGTAAGAAAAGAGGAAAAATTTAAAAATCAAGGAAGGAAAACAATAGCTAAATCAGATAATTAAATCAGATACATATATAAAACTTACATGAATATATTTTTATATATCATATATTATCTAAAATTTGTGATTTCACATTTACACAGATTTAATTGCATGTATGTTTGTGTGTGTGTGTATAAACAATTTATATTTCTTTTGTAATTTTTAAAATTTATAAATACATTGTTGCTTTTTAATGAAGAATGTGCAAAAGAAGAGGATCTTTTCAAAAGATCACTGCTTTTCAGTTTCAGCATATTGGCTTGGATAATTGAAAATTAAGCACTTTGTTTTACTTAAGATATTTTTAAAAAAATAAATATGAATACTTTCTGTGTTTTGTAATTATTTAGTATTTCCTCAAAATACTATTTCAAAGCATCAACAATAAAAGCTATAAACAAATGTCTTTCTGTTAGTGTTTAAGAGATTTTAATAGTTAAAAGTGGCTGCTTTTGCTTCGTTCTACTGGGATAGATTATTAATAAACGCAGAAGATCAGAACTGTCCTTTTAATTGAGTCTTCTTTTAAAGAAGTGAATCATATGACATAGCAGTCTCATAAACAGAATGCACTGTTTAACATAGAAGATGTAACACACAATTCTTCTTATCCAAAGCATATGCTAATACTGTAATACTTAGCTATATTGTTGAATAATCTAATACAGAGAAAATGAAAAACTTCCTTTTTCTATGATAATAAACATGGTGAACTTTGAACTTTATCTATTTCATGCTAATCAATCTGGAAAAAATAGAATTGAATACCTGGATAATGGATAAAAATGGAAAAATATGAATCTTCACAGAATACAAACAAGGAAAGATTTTGCCCTCACAGTTGCTGATTTTAATGTTTATTTGTTGTTGATCACCAACATCTTGAAAATATATCAGCATTCAATAGCATGTTATTTTTTTAGCTTTTATTGCTTTTAAAAAAAACTAAGGTCACTTTCCTGCTTTAAAATTATAATATTTATTAAATTCTTCAACTCAAATCATGCAACTTTTCAGAAAGTTTAGAACTACTATTAAAAAGCACAGAAACTAATAAAATTTCTAATAAAATTTGATTTTTTAAACTAATGGTTGATTATTTGGCAGTGAGATGAACAAATGTATTGAAACTGTGATTCTATCTCTTTAAGTTTATTGGAATGCAGTTAAAAGATACCTGCATTCAGGAACCCAATTTTTTAATTATTACAAAATCTAAATTGTTTTCAGATCATCCTCAACTTATAGCCATAATTGGGACCAGAATTCCCATTGTTAACTCATTAAGTGAGTCATGCCCAATTTTGTGATTTTTTTGCCATGGTTATTAAACAAGTCACTGCATTTGTAATGTGAATCATGCAGTTGTTAAGCGAATCTGGCTTCCTCCATTTCAGAAGCTGGCTGAGAAGGTTGCAAAAAGTGATCAGATGGTCCCAGGATGCCATTGTAAATACATGCCAATTGCCAAAATTTTGATCATGTAACTGTGGGGGTCCTGTGACCACTTTTTAAGGACCACTTAAATCCTTGAAGGATCATTTCTTAAGTGACCATTTAAATCATTTTTTCAATGCTATTGTAATTTCAAATGGTTGTTAAATGAATAGTTGTAAGGACTATTGGTATTGAATCTTCAATTTAATAATATAATGCTGACTGAAAATGTGTACTTTCTGATTAAGT